AANTAATCACTTCAGAGCAGGAAAGCACAAATTGCTAACAAAAATAAAAGAAAATACAATCCACAAAATACAACAGGAAATCTGACATGTATGCATACACCCATTCATTCCCTGACATTGAAAACAAAAGATGTGTGAAAATTAATAAAAGCAGAAAGTCTTCAGCTTGTTTCTGTATGAGGTTTAGTATTTCCACAAGCAAGATCAGCTAGTAATTTAAATTTGATTATAAAGTCAAAGCATCAGCAGTAGCTGAAAATTTCAAATAAAATTTGGTACTGAAAGGCTACGCAGTCAACCCCCGCACCACAGACCTCCTGCACAGCAGACTGCCTCTGGAGACAATTTTCCCTCCCAAGCAACAGACTGCTGAATCTGCATAATAGAGTTATGTTGTTTTACAATTAATGGTACAGCTAAGTAAAAAGTAAACAATTTAATTTTTTTTTATAATAGGATTTGCATAACGAACTTTTTACACAACAGACTAATTTGTTGCACAAATCAAGTCCATTGTGCAGGGGTTGAGTGCACCCTGGCAGATCAGGTTTGAGCAACCATTTTCATTGGTTAGGAAAACCTATTGTTTCCAGATGCACATTTCTGCCAATTGAATAATCAACAGACAGGTAGGAATAATATTGAATGAATCCATCTAGAGGAAATAAATTGAATCAATGAGTTTCATTGAACTAAGTTCGAAGACAGACGTACTTCTAGTGTGGTAATCGACCAAATATTAATAACGTCACGAGTCACTTCTTAATAGTTTCCTAACTTTAGTGGATGACGACAAAATAAATTTTTTAATTCATAACCATTGCAAAAATCGCATGGCCAACATAAATTGTACACATTTATAAACAAGTCAGGAGTTCAAAGCGCAAGATTGCAATTATTTAAAGCCCTGGTTGAGTTTTAAAACGTACATCCATGCATAAAATGGTTGAATATATGCATGCAAGAAATTTTTTTATTATGAAAATTGATTGATAATTACAAAATTATGCAGATTTCCTTCTTCCATCCGCAGTTTGCAGGATCAAGAGGCACAACAGTGTCCATTCCAGAGCTCAGTTCATTGCCTCCTCCACCACCTCCGCCATCTGGTGCCCGTCCATGTTACCACCGAGACCAGGGCACGAACATGTGTCGTCCTCTACCGGACCAAAGGCAAAAATACGGTGCCAACGGTGGCCTCAAGATGGCGCAATCAATCCATACATCAGTCGTTCCTATATTGGAAGATAATTGCGTGGCTCATCGGGGCAGAGCCACTAGTTTCCGAGGATCAACACCAACTAATGCCAAAACTTCCACTGCTGTTTGAATAAGAAAAATTGAAAAACTTTGAATTTTCGTTTATCTAGGCGTCGAAGTATTCACATTTTTGCACAAAAAAATATGTGCTTGCGTGCTGGATGGATGCCTTTTTTCATAATGGAATGTTACGCATTTATTTTGTTGCCGGTTATATTTTGTTTGTTTGTTTTTTTTTCTGAATGGCGATGCTTTTGTTGAAGCTTTTGTGCTTCCAAGTTTATCTGGAATAAATTCGTTTTGCGGGTTTTCCATCACGGGAAGAACTTCGAAGTCTTTCACGGTTTTTAAATTGTTTTTGAAGTCAGAAAGAGTCTCCTTGAGGATTTTGAATGCATGTTTACCTAAAATCTTTACACTAGATTATAAAATGATGCTCGCAAGCGCCAACTTCCACAAAATGCGTTGAAATAATTTCGTTGCCGAATCCAGAAGAACAAGATAAACACTTCACCAAATAAAAAAATTACCCCTAATTTTCAATACTGTGCTGGAACTGCTGATGAAATTACCTGTATTTTAATATCATTTCGACGATTAGAAGAAAAATACGTAGTAAAGTGACGAGATTTTCCATTTTTAAATTACCATGAAGTGATTTTAAATGGATGACTCCAAACAAATATGTTCCTGGGAGTTATTCATGATAGAATTTTTAATAGCAGACGATTTTTACAGCATGTGAAAAATTGTATGACCAGCCCAAAAAAAAAACTGGGGTGTGGATTTTTGTTCTAATTGCGCTCAAACAAATAAATCCTGTATAACTTGCAAATAGGGTATATTATAGCAAAAATCCCTTAAAACATACATTTGAATACAATCTTGGGCTGGGACTTCGAAAGAAATAACAAATCGGTGTGAAGAAGAATTTTATTCCACGACATACATTATGGTAACAAGATTTCACTACAGCTATTTTTACTTCAAAAAATGCATTTTAATACATTTTACAGCAAGAAACAAAATTCCAAAAGGGTTCCTGGTGCGAAACATCATCAACCTTGCAGACACCCGTTTAATAACATGCCCAGTGTTTCCAACCAGCAACTGAGGGCACCATAAGGGAAGAAAAAACCTGTTGGAATAATTTACCAGTCCGACGTTACGGTTAACAAGGCTTGCCCTCCTTTTACGAGATTGTGGCGGAACAGGTTGATGACTTTTTTCTTGTATGGATTGACTTCAAGTGCTTGGGTTCTTTTTGAAGGACGACACGGGATTGAAACTTGGTTTGAAGAAAATTGTTTATCAGAACTTATCATCAATGCGCGTGAAGGAGAGACTCGTTTGCTGTGGAGTTCAATTATATCCTCAGGTGTGTCGAACCGAGGTTTCACCTTTGCCACTCGTCACACAGCACATCTCAAAACCAGCCATTCAGCAAACTATAAGGATCAAGAATCGTTTATGAAAAGTTGTTGTGATTGAAGTTGTTCGATTGTGACCCGGTTTTTAGGTCACCACACTGACAGGTCAAATCCAGTCCACACACAAGCAATAAAAAAAAACACATAGGATGGAAACTGAAGGTGCCAAAATAGCAAGACATACTGTACCTTCTTTTTTTCTTTGAACCGCATTCCACAAATATTTTCAACATGGTTAATCTTTGGGTCTTGGTCTATAATTAGAGAGAATAACTTGAAAGAAAATATGAAAATTATGATGCATTCTCATAGTCATTCCAAACAAAAATTGGATTCAGTATATACTATTAGGAAGCAAACACGTTGACATTATTTTAAGTTTAATTTTGATGATTATAGGTGTCCTGAAAATTATTAAATTTTCCATTATTCAAGCAAATACCTCTCATGAAGCTGTAATCTCACCTGTAATCTAAAAAGAAGAGCAATTCAATTTAAAATTAGAATTTACTATATTTGAAGTTTGAATTGAATTGAAGGACAAGCTTTATTTTCCGCTTTTCAGCATTCACAAGCTTCAATGAATGAATGAATGAACAGAACACTTTATTTGCCACTTTTCAGGGTTCACAAGGCACAACCAAGACTCCCTCATCTAAACCCCCTCCCCACCCAACCCAACTCCCCCCATGACATTCAATCACTTCAAAGCATGAAACAAAGCACAAACCAAGTTTCAATGAACATTACCACATCAAACCCCACTCCCCTCCTCACCCACATTCATCTGAACACATTCCATCACATCAAAATGGAAAACAGACAAACAAGCTGTGCATGGATATTAAAACAAAGTACAATACATTCCAATGTGTACAATGGCACAACTTGTGTAAATACATACACCTTCTTCCCTTCCTTTATAACAAAAATAAAATGTCAGTAATAAGAATTTGAGCATAAGGCAAGCTCTGAACCCAACTTAAAGCACAAGCTGTTCAGCCTGCTCCCAGGTAAGGTTTAGTTGATTGAAAATTTTGGAGATAATTTTTGATGAGGAATCATATAATTTTAACAGTTGATCTTGGTCCTCTTCGATTTTCAAAAGAGCCTTTTCATTGGATTTTAGGTGTCTGGAAGCTCTTTGAAGCTTATATTTCTGTCTGAGTTTTGAAGCCCTGAATGAATGCATTTGATTATACTTTCAGGGATTTGTAGCACAAAAGGTTCTAGAAATTTTATGAAGAATCAGCTGCTTTCACAGAATTTTTTTTTTTAATTTTTTATCCTCAAAAATCCAATGAAAATGTCTCAGCTCACACCATAAAATAAACACAAATGGAGAACAGGGAACAGGAGGAAAATGTCCAAAGGAAACCAGTGCCATGAAAAAAGCATTAAAATCATATGCAAAAGGAGCAGGCAAGAAAAAATCAACGCCATGCAAAATATGTGCCACTCAACCCTGAGCGAAGTGCCATTTTTCAGTAGTAAGAAAATGTTTTTGCGCGTATTTTTTTGTCGCTGATTTCTTTTTTTAGGGTCTGATTTCTCATTTCACCATTTTTCGTTTGATGCGGAATTCATTTGGGTTTCTGGCTTGAACTTTCCTGAGAATGAGCCAGAAATTCACAAAAATTTCAAAATAAATAAATGAATACTTATTTTGGTATTTTGAGAATGCATTTTTTAAAAATGATTTTGATATGACTGTCCTTTGGGAAAATGGGATGCTGAAAAACGTTGGGATTTAACTACCTGAAATTACTCACTTCCCTCCAAGTGTTTTTTTGGATGCCTCAGGGTTCTCTTTTCCACAGGGTCGCCCTTTATCGGTTGATCAAATAAGCTCATCGAAAACAAGTTCCTTCGCTTCTTAGTCATAGGAGACCTCAGTTCATTAGGTGAAGCTTCAGCTCATCACAACTCTGCTGGTTTCCCCCCGAGATTCTTCAGTTGGGATTCTCCCGAGGTCGTCTTCAGCTGCGGGAAACTCCATCCTTTACAAGCAGTGAATTTCATTTTATAACAGCTTTTTTTTTCTGTGGCATATTTCCACGAAGAAACTGTGGGAAACCCGAAACTGCATCGATCCCGGAAATCGTGAAACCTGTTCAAGCAAAGTTTTCATTTTATCTCTCCTATAGTAAATATAATATGTAAACGAAGCAGAGACGTGTGAGAGTGGACGGGTAATTGATGTCTGCTTGATTGATCGAAACGCGGAAACTGGAGTGATTTTGTTATTTTTGTGTCCCTCCCCAGTTTTAAATTAGTGGTCGGAAAAGAACCGATAATTTCTGAGTGAAGATGACGTCTTCGTTGCCGCCGGTGATAAACTTCGCAGCTGGGCCTTCGAAACTGCCGGAAGAGGTCAAGTCATCTGTCAACTCGACGCATATTGTGAAACTCATCCAGTCAATCTCCGAGCATGTTCAAAAAGATCCTATCGATCAATCATTATAACAAAGCTGCATTTTTGATCACACGGTAAATTGAAAATCGGGCCAAGGATTGAAAGATGCGAGGTGACGTTATTTGCGGGAAGTGGATATAATTTTCCGCTCGTTTCATTTCAGCTGCTTTATACTGTATAATATTTGGTTTCGAGTTTTTTTTTATCAGCAAATATTATCACATTATTCATGAACGGATCATTGAGCATGCAGGCCTTGACTGATGCGTTATTTCCACCAGAAAATTTCAAGTTATTTTTGAATTCAATTGATCAATGGCATCAAACAATTTCAAACATGAAGCAGCGTTTTTCCAAATATTGCTACAATTGTTGCTGTTTTGGGTGGTATAGGGCACAGAAGTTGCCTCAATATAATTTGATATAAAGTTGAATCAGAAAGAGTGAGTGTGTAAAAGCAGTAATGAGCCCTGGACAAGGGCCACAATGCCTTCTTGGAATTTCTGGGTTAATAGATAAGGATGTATTTCACAAGAATAAGATCAACAATTACAGTGGCCCCCTGCCTAACAGACCTCCCGTGTAAGGGATTTTTGTCAAACAGACCAGCTCTGCAAGCAGTTTTTCCTCCTGCCCAACAGACAAAATCCGCCAAACAGACTTCTTTTGGTTTAAAATTAGTGTTGAAATTGATATGGGACCCTACCTTCGTGGGCATGGGAGATACCCTCATCCACCAACTCCCATATGATGTCACATCATGTGACACCACTACACTACACTCCTGTCTCTCACTCCACCTTTCCCTTGTTTCTGAACAGTTCAGTTTCAGTCACACACGTACAATATATAATGTGTGATATGTACAGTGGGCCCCCGACTTACGACGGGCCCATGTTACGTCCGTTTCATCTTACGGCGCTTTTTGTAAATTAAAAAAACCCCCGACTTACGTCCGGGTTTCATGTTACAACTATAAAAGCCCTTTGACTTTCCCCACTCCAGTCTTCCTCTCGTTTCCAACCACACCAACAAAAAAGCCAGTAGCAATGGAGGAATTATTCCTGCCACATCATTATTTCCTACTCCTTGCAATAACACTCCCTTCAAAAATTGTAGAACTTAAGCAGACTCAAAATCAAGCTTTAAAACCACACCAACAAAAAAGCCAGTAGCAATGGAGGAATTATTCCTGCCACATCATTATTTCCTACTCCTTGCAATAACACTCCATTCAAAAATTGTAGAACTTAAGCAGACTCAAAATCAAGCTTTAAAATATGAAGGATGAACTCAAACAATGTCAACACTCAAAATGTGTTTATGACATGAAATTTTGGGCACAGTATATATTAAATTTCTTTCTTTGCACCTTAAAAAAAATTCAATTTATAAATTTTGAAACCTTGCTATGCAGACTCAAAATCAGGCTTTAAAAATGAAGGATGGAAAAAGTTGTGAGAAGTGCTCAAAATTGTGAAAATCATTCCCCTCCTACCCTATTTCACTACCCTACCCCCTATCACTTTTGTTTTTATACAGTCTTTCAAACATGTCTTGTGTCTCTTAATGCAATTTCTGACAAAGAGTTGAATTATGAAGGTAATTTTAGGTAAATATTTTTTTTCTGGAACAAATTAATTTTTTTATAATGTAACCTTAAGGGAAATAGGGTTTCAGCTTATGAGGGCCCCATGTTGTGACTTCCATCCTGGAACGGATTGATGACATAAGATGGGGGCCCACTGTATTTCTTGTAGGAAATAAGCACAATGACAACATATACTGTACATGCAGTTGAACCTCGTTAAATCAAGTACCATCCCATGTCAAAATTTTCCAAATGCTTGTCTGAATTCTCTTAAAAACCATGCCTTGAAAAACTTCTCTGACTCAAAGGCTTTTTGCTCTCAGACCTCCATCACTTGAATTTTCTGAATATCTTTCAGCAATTTTTTTGAAGCCAGAAAGAGAAAAAACAATTAAAATGTAGTGTGATGTAGTATAAGAGGAAGTGAAAGATTAATTGGTCAGATGAACACTTGCCCTCCAGTTCAGTACCCGCCTGTCAACTAATTTAAAAAGCAATTTGAAGCCCAAAAGATCTCTAAATTACAATTTTCTTTAATGCTTGATTCTTCCTTTTCCTCAACAAAATTTCTCATTTCCCCAACGCAAAACCACATTAACTCAATTTTTTTCTGGTTGCTTGAAGTTTAACTCAAAGATGTTCCACTGCATGTATATGAAATGGTTCATACTATTTGGAAACTGTTTAAAAATTTGCCATATTTTTTTGGTCATGTACGTTTAATTATTATTCCAACAATACTTCAACAATTTTATTTCCCCCGAAATGGGAGCACAATTAAATGCTAATTTCCTTGAGTCGTCGCTGTTTTCCTTGAATCCAAGTTTTTCGTTACTGGATGCTTGAACTTGAGCTGGTAGGTGTCGCTCCAATCTCAAGCATTTCTGGACATCACTTAACAGAGCTTGAGTAAATATATAAATTGTGACCGAATTTAATGTTCAAGTATCAATGCTCATCAACTTTTCTTGACTCGCCATAAAATCAGCCTTGAAAGACAGAATAAAATTCAGGTCATACCTATTCACAATAGGAAGTACAGTACATTAGACTCCTGGTATATTGGTGAACTCAAGGAAAGTTTCAAGTTTGAAAGAAATTTTAATTTTATTACCCTAAAAGATCATCCACATGGATTTGCGAATTATGACGGAAATTTCAGGAATAAATTTTAGGTCAACTTAGAAAACGGGCATTGTTCTTCATCAGCAAATTTTATATTTCCAAACCCGAATCAACAGGTGATTGCCAACATCGCCGCAGAACTGGAAAGTTATCAAGGGAAAGGAATCAGCATATTGTGCATGAGTCACCGGTCTGCAGATTTTCTCAAAATCATCAACAAGGCTCAAGAAATCCTCAAACAACTTCTGTAAGTTTCCTTCACCGAATCAAAATAGAATCCATCTTGTTTCTCCTGGTTGTTTCGTGTTAACGAAAGAGTTTCCGGGAAAATGTACAGCGGTAACAAATTCTTTGTCCTTATTTGATGATATTGAAGATATAAAAAATACACCTCAGTCATCATACTCATCAAAAGATCTTTTTTATGCATAGCAATATATATTTTTTGGGCGATTTGTCTGCAAGACTGAGACACTTGTTAACAAGTACCAACTCTACCAAGCATATACAGGGTGGCCCAAACACAAATCGTGTTTGGACCAATTTTGAAACACTGTAAGACTGAATTTTATGAAAAACAAAAGCTAATTTTGGGTGATTACACATGAATAGAAAAATCTATGCAGCTCAAACAAGGGTTATTACCTTTATAAGAGAACCAAAGGTCTGTTAAATTGATTATTGGATGGTTATGATTTCATCCCTCTCTGGTTGCCATGGTCATTGAAAAAAAGATGCCAAGTTTTTTTCTTCAGAACAGTGAATTAAATCTGCAATACTGGATGTGAGGAAAACTGGAATTTTGCTTTCCAAAGAACAATAACTTTACATATACTTCAATATGGAATATTATAGAAATTCGACTTAGAGAGGTTGAACTGTATTTTAGAAGTCAATTTAATCAACATGTTGGACCTTCAGAATTTAAATTTTAATAATCTCACAAAATACTGCATGCTGCAAGTGGGAAATTGGTGGCAATTTTTTTTTTCTGGTTCACCCTGTAACATTAGATAGATATCATTGATCGAACTTTCTTTATTTATTTTTCAAGCAGTGCTTATTTATTACAAATTCTTTCCCCAGGGGTATCCCGGACAATTACAAGATACTGTTCCTCCAGGGCGGCGGTACGGGCCAGTTTTCGGCGGTACCCATGAACCTTTTGCGGACGGGTACAGCAGACTACGTTGTCACTGGTGAGTGCTGGTGCCGAGAGAATTAATCAGATTCCTTGTTAACTGCTGCCGGGGAATATGTCACTGTTCCTGCAATAGCTTATCCTACAGTCCTTGATTATAATGCTGATACCAAAAACAATTACTGGTTCACCGTTTGAACCAGGATATGTAAATGTGCGGTATTTAAAGTTTCTCATTTCCCTCGGCAACTGGTGACTTATTTACAGCAATTCTTGCGCGCGAGATTTTCATTTTGGTTCATCAACAAGAATATTCGCATTTTTAGCCTCGAGCAACGGTACCTCATTTTTTTTGGAAAATTGAAAGCTTTTTCATTCTAGTCAAATATGATTCTCTTGAAATTAATCGACACCAAACAAATCAGCTCTTGTGCCAACTGATCGACGTCTTTAGCTCGACTTAGCTTCGTTGTAGAGCACTTAAAATACAAAAAGTGTTTTTTTACGCTCTATACTATTTCTAAACTTTTAACGACATGATTAGCGTTCAAGTATTTTTCTTTTAATTAATGGTGATTTACAAGCACCGGGTGTAACGACGATAAATATCATTCAACGCCAAAATAACCAGCAAAGCAAAAAAGCTTTTAAATCATTGCTTCACGATTTTAGATATTTAAAGAAGGTTTTGGAATATCCGTATCACTTTGAAACATTGCGAGAATTAAATTCAAATTTAAATATAAAAAGGAATCATTTATTCAAGGCTAAATACGTTTTGAAAACTTGTATAGAACATCCAATAAGACATTTTCTGAAAACAACGACACTATATAATTTACACTGCTGTATTCAGTCATTTTCAAATTATAATAAAATTGGTTTTCCAAAAATCTCGACAGCAAAAGGCGTGGGTTAAAGAACATTCCATAAACGCTCAAGTGTGAGAAAATATTCCAGACCGCTCTTGTGCATGCAGATGCAAAATCATGAAACATCAAGTATCTCGTTCTAAGTGATTAAACCATGAAATTTTGAAAATTTCAATTTCAGGTACTTGGTCTGACAAGGCATCCAAGGAGGCCAAGAAGTACATGCACCAAGTGAACCTGGTTGCGCCTAAACCACAAACATTCACCTCGATTCCTGATAGAGTTAATTGGAAGCTCACAGATGGCGCTGACTATCTGTACTACTGCGCCAATGAAACTGTTCACGGTAAGAGATACATGTAATGTCATTCAAATGGGGAATTTTTCTGTTGTTTCATGCTCAATTTAATTTTTCAAACCAAGAGCAATGGTAGTTATTCTTGAGAATAATGCTAAATTTTTCGGAAGTAGAATTCCAAATAGGAGGGTTAAATCTGCCTTCAGAACTGCTTCGGCCAACATTTTTCGTTTGAAATATGTTTTAATTTCAATCGTAAATATTATTACTGGCAGAAATTTTTAGATTAAAAAATTGCGAGAGCATCGAACTGAAAATAAGCGATACAAATACAGTAGCTTATGAAAATAATTTTCCCGCGTCGCCTCGAGTGCAAAATTTTGAAAGAACGAAAAAATACTTGACGCAATTCCGTGATACGTTGGAAGTAAATTCTCGCAGTACAGTACTTGATAATCCAGGACAATTATTATTTTTTCGTCCACTCTTTGACAAAAAGGTGTCGAGTTCCATGAAACACCGTTGTGTCCGGACGACGTCACTCTGGTCTCCGACATGTCATCAAACTTCTTGTCACGGCAAATCGACGTGTCGAAGGTTGCCTGAAATTAACCACGCACCGAATATTCAACTAATCAAGGCTGAACAATCATTCTAGCGAGAATTAATTTTGATTTTCTTTTTTTTTTTGGGCTTAGTACGGATTGATTTTTGCGGGGGCTCAAAAGAATGTCGGACCTGCCGGGGTTGTTGTGGCAATTATCCGAGAAGATTTGCTCAAGAACGAGTTGAAGAATCCGCAAACCCCGCTCGTGTTGGATTATGCTGATCAGGCCAAGAATAATTCCGTTGCCAATACTCCCTGCACTTTTGGGTGAATATTTTTCAACTATCGTATCACACCTTCCGGAAATGACATTCAAAAAACTGTATTAGATCAAATAATAAAACCAAATCAAATGCAGCGAATTAATAAAATAACGTTCCGACTTGGAAGCTTGAAAATCACGTGACGAAAAGGAAAACTTATCGGTCTCGTGAAAAAGAAGTAATAGCGCATTTCATCTGACCAAAGGTTTTCTGAATTGTGCTCATGTTCAGAAGGCCTAAAACGAAAAATCTGGGAAAGGTGAATCCTTTTGTATCCCAAAATCTCAAATGCTAATCATATGCAAGGAATTCCTGGGAAAAGAGCCACCCATCAGGAGGGAATTTTTTTTCATTTTTGAGACAATTTTTTTCTGCAGGATTATAAAAATATATTTTACTCTTTGTCTAATTATAGGCCTTGGTGCAAAAATCTCTTGTCAGTGCTCATAGGCACAAAATGTTGCAAAATATCCCAACTTTGCTGTACAACAGTTAAAATGATTGAAATAAAAATAGTCAAAGATGTGTTTCACATGCAAATTTGTATTTCAACTTTTGAAAAAATTGAAGTTGAATGCCCAAAAAGTTAAGAAATTTTTAATGATCTACTTAACGACATTTTTTATACGATATTCGTTTAACTAGTTGTTGTTTTTTCTAGACCTTTGATTTTTTTAAAAATTTCAATGACAAATTAGACACCCTTAAAAAGTCAGGGTTCATTCTTGTATCTTGATGAATCCTTCTCCTGATCATAACTGTTTTATTATAATCTGTTGAAATTGTGGCTTTCACTTATTTTCCTGGACAGCGTGAAAAGTCTCTCTGTTTTGCTTAAAATCCCTGAAAAAACTATTGTAATGAACTTTTGTAAAATGTGCTAAAAGCGCTTTGATTTTGAAATAATCTGGAAAGTTGGGATTTTTTCATGCTCCGGTTTAATTTCTTGAGATTTATTCAGAGAGTTCATTTTCTGTGCGCCAGTTCTAAAATAAAATAAAATAAATCCCTAGTGATAATTATTTTTAATAACCCGTTGACATTTTTCCTTCCCCTTATTTCCCTGGAAAAACCCTTCACTTTCCCGGAATAAAAAAAAAATAACAACTCTCTAGCATTTCCGAACATAAAAAAAGAGAAAATACATCTATAAGTAGAATTCTATAACCTATAAAAATAACTCTGGCATCCTGTTGGACGATGTGTGAAGAGATTGAGGATCTCGCCAACATCGTTTCGTTTTTTTTGTCTATGCCCCGCGGCACAGGATATACGCCCTGGAGCTGGTCCTGGAGTGGATCCTGAACCAGGGCGGCCTGGAGGAGATGGAGCGGCGGTCGCGGGAGAAGGCGGCGCTGATTTACGACGTCATCGACGCGTCGGCGGGTTTCTACTCGAACCCAGTGGCGCCCCTTTGCCGCAGCCGCTACTTGTAAGGCAAGGCGCAGCCGCCCGGGCTGCCGTTGGGCCCCGAACTTTGGCTTAAAGAACGGTCCCGGCTGTTTCGGCCGTACTTCTTGGAGTTCCCTGTGTCCACGCACAAACTAGCGCACTATGCATATTTACTGTATGTGCGTATATACAGGGTGGGGTCAGCCATAAAAAAAAAAAAAAATTGCATGCACGTAACAGAGGGGGTCTCAGGAGTTATGCAGAATAAAAGGGTGCATTGGGCGTGGGGCAGCAATTCACTGCTCAATTTTGTTTTTCTCACCTCTGACCCCCTCCATCCTGAATTTTTGGAATGTGTGCATCATCTTGAAGGATGGATGAATGAAGTTTGCTGGTTTACCCTTCTACTGCAAAATTGGGATATTTTTGCAAAATTTTGTGCCCAAGAGCACTGAATTGAAGTTTTAAAAAATACATCTGATGACCACAAGGCAAAAATTGAGAAAAAGTTAACTTTTTTTTCCTTGTCTACACCTGTGCTGGCAGAAAATGTTGTGCAAAAATAAATTCTCCCAGGGTGGCATTTTTTTCTGCATTCCTAGCATAGGATTAGGATTGAATATTTCTGAAAACAAAAGCATTCATTCTTCCTGTATTTTTCCATATTCAGGCCTTTTTCAACACAGGCGCCTTTTTGACCTTTCATAAAAATTAATGAACCACTGCATGCCAAAAGAAATACTTACTTTGCAGTGGGGTGGAAAGGAGGCTGTAAATTACTGGTCCTGTACCCCATCTAGAAACAGCACTGGAGAACAGCAACTGAATGGAAGGAGTTGTGCCAAGAGGCAATTTTTTTTTTGGGAAAATTTTGGTTCAGATGGTTTTGGTGACCATAATACTATGGCACTCTTGGGAACATATAACCATATATTATTTAGAAAAGAAATTGAAAAAGCTTTCATTTGGCATTTATTTCATATATTGCTGTAGCTTGATTTGCTATACTGAGCCATTGTCATTGACAATTTTTTTCGCTTTTTTTTTGGTCAACCCTGTATGTGTTTGTTGAACCTGTAAGATATAGTCGTCCCGCGCCGACCGCAAAAAGTTATTCTCGCCGCATTCCTTACGAAAAACTGCTTTTCTATTCATGAAACAACTAATTAAGGAAAAACCCACTGAGTAGGTTTTTCCCATTATTCTGATCGTTTCGCAGCGAGCGGTTGTCTAAAAAGGTGTTGATTGATCTTGAGTTATCACTTTCGAAATATACTTTGCACTTTGTCTTTTGGGAGAATTACCGAATTCTCCCCTGCCGTGTTCCCCTGCGGCTTGAGTCTACTATTTTATTCATCAGATTTATTCTCTCATCACGTTCCTTTGTGGGTTTAGCCTACAGAACCTGCAAGTATATGTGAGGAAACCCCTTACCCAGGCAAGCAAAAATATGGGGCTGAGTTGGGGTTCTCTGAGGCTGTATGGGACCGCCCTGTCCATGTACATGATGGATGATATGCAGTAAAACCATGTTTTGTTTTGTTTTTGTTTCTTGTATGTCGAATTAAATAAAGTCACGATTTTTCTTTATCTTCCTATAATTGTTAAAACAAGGGTTGTGTCTTTTTGTGAGAACATCCTCATTATAAAATTAAATATTTTCCCCCAGAGTGGATGATTGGAAAACCATCAGTCAAGTCGTCAGCTGTAGTGTTTATTTTCTTGAATAGCTCAATCAATATAGGAAAATATTTCAAACTGAAGATGATTCAGTTTCCTTTTAAATGATTTCGGAATCAAGTGAATTTTCATGGTCATCAAGCGCGTTTAGATCAAATGGGTTCAAACGAAAATCTCAGGAAAGAAATTCCTGTATTCTTTTCGAATCCTTCTTCTCATATATAAAGAAAGTTCCAATAATTCAAAGGAAGTCCTAGAAATATTATAATTCCGAATAATACATCGTTGATCGAATACAGTAAAAATCCTTCTCCTGGTCTTTTCTTGAAATGTAAATTGCAAAAATTGTATTATGATAAGTTTCCTATATTATGTTTATTGTTTGAAATTTCAAATTTTTTCATGGGTCTTTGGCGCAATTTTCCCGCTATATTTCCTCTTGTGCAATTTTCTCTCATTTTGTTTTATGAAATAAGCTTTCCCTGTAGAAAATTTTCCAAACAATTTTTCATTGCATTCAATAGTACTTTATTCAAATTGTACATATAAATAAAAATGCAGAAAAAGCCCGTTTTTATTCTCGAGTGGTTAGAAAGAAAAATTCAAGGGATGTCGCCCAACATGTTGTCGCCTTTATAGTGGCATTATTCCGAAGGAATTTCAATACTTTCCTGGTGACTAAAAATATTGATTTACATTTTTTTCCCAGATCTGTTGGAGGAATAAGAGCTTCTCTCTACAACGCAATCACCGTCGAAGAAACTCGGACTCTCAGGGATTTCATGATCCAGTTTCAACAAGACCACGTCGGAAGTCCCGTTTAGAACAAATAGAACAAAAGTGCCTCACTTTTAATTGTCCAAGCATTGTTAATTCTCAGAATATACTCTGATGAAGTCAAGCAAGAAATACAACTGGTGCAATTCAGATTAATGGTGCGTTTTTTATTGCCCCTGAATAAAACGTCGCATTGATCATCTCATCGGGAAGTTTTCTCCGATACGAACGATTTGAAAAATCGATTGATGATGCGTTTCTGAAGGCGAATATGTCACATACATTTTCCTTCACCACTTTTAATTGTTCTTCATCACGACGAAGAGACAACATGGGACAGGAAGTCAAAAATACTCAAAACTTGAAGGCTTGCGACATCAATTAGGACCATGTAGGCGTAATTAATGATTCTCTCGACGTGTGTCCCTCGTCGTCGTCGGGGATCAAACCGCGAAGAGGAAATAACTCCGAAAATTGTTTCAAGAAGAAGAACATACACAAAAAAAAATAGAGACGGGATCTCGAACATCTTTTGTTCGTCCAAAAGGAATCCAATCGTCGAAAGAAGGTGAACTTGTCCGTCACGAGACGTTAATTGCTTTCGTAATCATAAAAAAAAAGGTTTTCTGATGTGAAGGGGACTTTTATATCACGTTTCATCGTTTGTCCGGATTCTTGACGGTGTGAGTTTTTCCGGTTTAACGGAGAGTATGTCTCGTTTTCTTTGACGTGGAAAATCGTCTAAGGGTTTGTAATGGTTGTATATTAACGACGAAGGTCGGGGAGATCGTCTAAAAATACTTGACTTCCCGAACTATTGGGAGAGTTTCGAAAACCGTTTTTCCCCAATCCTTTATATTTTCCAACAACGGTAACCCTGCTCGAGGCTAAAATTTATTTTTAACATTTTATTCATGGATGCATATTTCATCAAATTTAAATCTGCGATTTGGTAAAATGCACAGTATCTCACCGAGTTTCAAACGTTTGATACTTTCTGCTAATATTTATCATGAAGAAGCTTTTTCAATGTGCGTTTAATTGCGATGTGTCCCCGCATTACGAAAAATCCGTACTGCAATAATTTCAAATTGCGAAATGTTTTATAGGGGTAAAAAATATCCCCTCGCGTAATTGCTTCACAGACCGACATTTATAGACAAAAAAACATTAAAATTTAATCAAATATTTAATTAACACTTTGAAATTTGTGAAATGCAAAGGAAATGAGAAAAGGATAACTTAGTTTTGGATCTTTTTGTCGTCAAAATTTCTGAAATTTCAAAATGAAACAGTTGAAACTCGTCAGAGTTACTTCATTTTCGTAACACTGAATTTTGAATTCCCTACTTTAGACCAAAAGAAACGCACATTTTTTAATGTGGTACAGTGAGACCCCCACATGCGGACACCTTGACCTTCAGACAATTCAACATAGGGACACTTATTTTTCCAGAAAAAATCAATAAATAAGGGTCAACATGAGGACACTGACTTGACATAGGGACATTTTGTGATGAAATTGCAAATACATTCCAAGCCAAATTACAAGAAACAGATATTTCCAACCCTACAATTGATGTAAGAAAAGTTCTTGGATAATTCTCTCACCAAATTACCATTCACTTAGCTAATTAAAAAAATTACCTCCAGCATAGGGGGACTTCTACTTTTTTTCACTTGAATATTATTTTTGTAGATGCCAAAATTCCCGTGTACAGTACAGAGATGCACTATTCAATGCTCCAAATGTCCTTATTGAGTTGAAAATGTATCCACTAATTAAAATTCAAGTGGCAAACAATTTTTTCAGGGAATTCTGAAGAATATTTCTTCCAGAAAACACCAATTGAAAATTATATAATGTAAGTCTATGGGAAAATAAGACTTGACTTAGGGACATTTTGACTTGGGGACACTCTTGATGCACCGATTACATCTGCATCTTGGGGTCTCACTGTATGTCCACATCTGGGGGTCTCACTGTATTTTCTTGAGCTTCAGGAACAAATAAAATTATTTGTTTTGCTTTAGGTGAATATTCCACATACTAAAAGGCATCCCAAGGATCAGTTTGGTTCTGCTTGGACTCACTGTAATAATATTAAAAATTTTGTCAATATATCCTCCAGTGTCATGATTCAGATTTCAGCATGCAAAAATTTTGAGCTTTTTTCCAACTTTTCAGGGTAAGGTATACCTTTAAAAATTTCCAATTTTTTCCCAGGATTGAGAATCTTGAATTAAAAATAAAAATGTAGTATTTTTAAGTGAATATATTTTTATTTTATTTCTTATGAATATATAGGTATTATAGATTTTGCACTTATCAATATTTTATTTATTGATACTATTCTTCACAACACATACAAAGGCGACAATAAAGCATTTTCAAATACTTGATTCTGCAATCACACACGATTTTTCCATCAACCCAATGGACTTCCCAACCCTCCTAATCTCTTAATTAGGAGTCCCATATTTTTCATCTCGTAATTAGGAGTCCCAGCGCCTGATAAGATGTTTCTCAGCAGCTCAGTTTCATTTGTTATTCGCCATCAGTAAAAAAAAATCTTAATAATTATGA